ATACATTGTGCAAAAATGAAAAATGATGTAAAAAATTTATAAAATAAAATAAAAAATAAAATAAAAGGAAGGGGAGAGTACAAGGGACTGTGGTGATGTGGTACAGGAAGAACTATGGGGACTACACTTGAGGGGAGAAATCAAATATTGTCCAAAAATGAGCTATAATGTAAGGAAATAAATAAATAGAAAATCGTGATGCTTATTAAGAAGTAAGAAACCAAATAAAACTTTATGATACCATTTGTTTATTTTCAGTCACAGCAAATTACATATATATACACATAAGGCATAGATATTTATATATGTAATAAAAATATAAAAATATGAACAGGAAATAATTGTTATATTCTCGATAGTGGCTGCCTAGGGAAGAGGGTGGAGTCAAGGAAATGAGGAAAAGATCATAGCAGAACCCAACTTTAATGGCAGGATTTCATTTTGTTTATTAACAAGAGATTTCTGTGGTGGGTACTTATTTGTTATTTTTTTTTTTTTAATTTTTTTTTTTTAATAGAGGCATGTTTTATTTATTTATTTGTTTGTTTGTTTGTTTTTGTTTATACATGCACTGGGTACAGTCAGAAGCGCGGGAGGGTGAGAGAATTCACCAGAGCCAGAGCGGGGAGCAGAGCAGGCAGAAGGACCGAAGTACACTGCTGAGGGGAGCAGCGGGCGGCAGGAGAGGTCTGCGCGCCATGTGGGACCCTCCTCCGGTGGCCGGGGAGCAGCCGGGGATCGAACTGGCGCTGCAGAGGCTGCGGGCAGCTTCGCAACCCAGCGTTCAACCGTTGCGCCACCGGGGAGGCCCTTATTTGTTATTTTTTAATATTTGAAAATTGAAAAGAACAGTGTTCTGTAAAAAGCAAAGGACAGGTATAGAGGGATGGAAAGGGAGATTTGAGTATTTCCTGCCATAGACTTCAGTTTCATGTGTTCACCCTACATTATAAAGGTCCTCAATCTTAAAGGTGCATGCTTTTTCCCTTTTACTCAGTTTTCAACTACTAGAAGCTTGGGGGATTTTTTTTGTGTTTTTTTGTTTCTTTGTTTGTTTTTGTTTGTTTTTGCTAATTGTTACAGGGTTTTAGAACTGCCTATGAGTAAGGTAAATGCTTTTATGGTAACTTTAAGATTTAAAAAAGAATCCAGGACTTACTCTACTGAGGCAGCAGCCTATCTTGCAGTATTTTTTTTAAAGATTTATTTATTCATGCATACAAAAACCGGGGTGCAGGCAAGATGCACGGGAGGGTGAGAGGATTCATCAGAGACAGAGTGGGGAAGAGAACAGGCAGACGACTGAAATACACTGCTGAGGGGAGCAGCGGGCGAGACAGGAGAGGTCTGCTGCACCATGTGGGTTTCTCCCTGGCCAACCGGAATCGAACCCGCACTGCAGAGATTGTGGACAGCTTCACAGCACTTTGCTCAACCACCTGCGCCACTAGGGGAGTCCCCTATTTTGCAGTATATTAGAGGTTTCCATAAGAGGTCTTCTATCCATCCCCCCAACTTTTCCTGTTGCAAGAAACTCCTTTAAGAGTGGCCAGAGTTTCTGGTGAATTCTCTCACCCTCCTGTGCTTCTGACTGTACCCAGTGCTTGTATAAATAAATTAATAAATCTTTAAAAAAAAAAAAAGAGTGACCAGAGTCTATCATTCCACAGTTGGAATGAAAAGTCTCAAAATATAATATGCCCTTGGTTAGGAAAACACATTGACTTCATTCTTACCGAATCATAAATGACACCTAATCCTTGCCTGTGAGATATTTTGAGAAATCTGGGTAGGGAGGGGGTAACTCACAGACTGCTTGTTACCAGAGACAAGCCTACCCCAATGAGTAGTCACCCCCATCCCTCAGGGATAGGTTCCAAGCTTCACAGGAAACATATGGTGTTTTCTCCTTTTGTTACGGAAGGATTCAGTCAGGTACCTAGGCAGCGCTCAAAGAGGAGAAGGGAAGCTATTGACGCAGGTGGGCCCAAAGGAAATCTTTCTCCAAAGTCTGAGCCCCCAGAAATTAGTCAAGGACTGTATTTATTGTCTCAGCAGGGGTACACTTGCAATCTAAAAGCAAACGGAGTACAGAAGCAGGAGATTTCTAAGTAGTTATCTAGGGTGCATAAGTCAGGTGTGTGGCCTCTGTGGCCTTGAGAATGTTTATCGGTTTCCCTGAAACTTTCAGTCTGCATTGAGGTTTTGTCTTAACATAACTTAAGCTAATTAATAGGTCAGCCTGACTTTTTCTACTGTGATAAAATTTAATTTATGAATTAGACAGTAAGAGTTAACTACAGTAAGGAATAATAAAATGGAATTACTGTAACAATATACTCTACAAAAATTACATAAGTGTGGCATCTCTCTCTCTCTCTCTCTCTAAATATCTTATTGTTTATAATTTTTAGGCTGTGGTTGACTGTAGATAAATGTCACCATAGCAAGTGAAACTGCAGGTTAGAAGGAGTACCGTACTGAATCTTACCTCAAGTCAAATCACACTGAAAGCCACACAGGAAAACCCCTATGTACCATACTTATTATTTTCAGTTCTTAAGATAGCATGTGTTTTTGTCACCCCTTTTTATTTTTTTAAAGATTTATTTATTTATACAAGAACTGGGGTACAGGCCTCCCTGGTGGCGCAGCGGTTGAGCGCTGGGTTGCGAAGCTGCCCTCAGCCTCTGCAGCGCTGGTTCGATCCCCGGCTGCTCCCCGGCCACCCGAGGAGGGTCCCGCATGGCGCGCAGACCTCTCCTGCCGCCCGCTGCTCCCCTCAGCAGGTACTTCGGTCCTTCTGCCTGTTCTGCTCCCTGCTCTGGCTCTGGTGAATTCTCTCACCCTCCCGCGCTTCTGACTGTACCCAGTGCTTGTATAAATAAATAAATAAATCTTAAAAAAGTTTTTTAAAAAGATTTTAAAAAAATCGTTAAAAAAAAAAGAACTAGGGTACAGGCCAGATGCACGGGAGGGTGAGAGGAGTCACCAGGGACAGAGTGGGGAACAGAACAGGCTGACTGACAAAATACACTGCTGAGGGGAGCAGTTGGCCTGACAGGAGAGGTCTGCTGCACCATGTGAGACCTTCACTGGCAAGCAGGGATTGAACCCGCGCTGCAGAGGCTGCTGACAGCTTCACAGCGCGGTCCTCAACCTCCTACGCCACCAGGGGACGTCCTTTGTCATCCCTTTTAAATGCCCTTTTATGGTAACCACTCCAGTAACCTCCCACAGCATTTCTCTCTATACACCAAATTGCCTTTAAACCAGCTCCTTCTCTCTTCCACCTCGAAGATTTATCTGATAGGTTCCTGACTCTTGAAGCCAGTAGTCTTTTCTTGCCTAGCTAGGTGCAAAAAATAGCTGACTTTCAATGTGCTTCTAGATAGGTTGTATTTGTGTGGAACATTGCTACTAAGGGAGAAAATCCAAACTCCAGTGACTATAGCTAGTTATAGTGTCAACAATAATCATATTCATTTGTGCTCTTTAATACAACTATGATGGATTTAATTATTGGGTAATTATTAATTAGATAATAATCCTGAAAAAAAATCTTGAAACAGTCAATGTGCTTTGAAAAAAAAAAAAAAAGAAAAGCTAACCTATGAGTAATATAAAGAGCAATGAAAGTGAAGTACTAATTCTGAATGACATGGTAGATTGAAAAATCATTTCTATGATTTTGGACTGCACTGAATGTGTTGGAAGGATCTAATTGATGAAGAGTTTTGAAATAAGCTAGAAAGAAAACGTAGAGATCAGTTTCACTGGAGATTGACTTGTCTTGTTTTTTTTCAAGTAGGTAAATAAAATTATAAACATTTTATAGTAGGTATAGGAAAGTGAGCTCTTACAATAAAGAGAAAAAAAGTATCTTATGGAAGATACCAAGTTTTGAAAATTTTCTCCAAGAAGTCCTTCTGGTTGACTTATTTATCTATAATCTATCTATCCCACCCGTCTATGGAGAGGTCCCTGAGCTGAGTCTAATCATTCTCATACAAAGCAGGATGGCTGATTAGAAAAGGGTGGGAGGAGAGCTGAGGGCCACTGCAGGGAACCGGAAGGAAGGATTTCTCAGTGAGGAATAAAGCTAGATCATGGCTTCAAGTAAGTTAAGAAGTTATTGAGATATATAGCTGGCCTTTTTTTCTACAAGAAAATAGATGTCTCTGTGGTTTAATCAATAAAGTGATTGTGTCACATATTTAAGAGTGAGAGTTTTTTTTTTTCATGCGGATCCAGAGACAGAAACACATCATGGGTGGAAATAATAGTGGTGCAACATTTTGTCGTTGTTGTTATTGTTGCATTGACAAAGGAAGGAAGTCGGATGATTAGAAGTATCAGTTCAAGGTTATGAATTTTTCACTCCAGGAAGTGGTGATTAATATGGCCCAGGTGCTACCACATATACACAGACAGAGGGTCTCTTTAAGGCCTTCCAGCCCTAAGTCTGGGAGACTGAAATTTCTCCCTAATTCCTGAAGAGGGCGTATAAGCCCTGACATTTCACAAGCAGGCAGAACCTGACAAGGTGTAGTCATAATATTCTGCATTGTTTGCTTCCAACTGAGATTGCAACTGAAATATCAAAATTGCAGAATTAAAGCCTAAATTGATCACTTCCAGTAATTAAATTAATTATAATGTGATCATGGCAATATTACAGTAACTTTTGTACTTTATCTTTTAGTAGTGTCCAGCATTTACTGAAATACAGTTGAAAATTTACAAAATGTAGGTGAAAAAGTCCAATTTAAAGCAGTGGATAAATGTGAAAAGTGAAAAGGCTCAGGAGAAAAGTGAAAGTGCAGATTTTAGAACTACAATTGTAGGCACTTTATGTGGAAATATTTGTGTAAACATTTCATTAGTAGGAATTGCTAAATTACCCTCCTTTGTGCTTAAGGGCCTGCCTCATTAAAAAAAAATATTTTCTACTGTGAAAAATAATCTTGACTTAAAACATCTTTTTGGAATACTTCTAGTTACCTTCAGACTTTGGCTCACTTTCAAAACTGAAGATTCTTGGACTAACTGGAAATCAGTTCTTTTCATTTCCAGAAGAAATCTTTTCCTTACAGTCTTTAGAGAAATTGTACCTTGGGCAAGATCACGGAGTCAAACTCACCTGTATATCAGAGCACATTGGAAAACTACAGGTAAGCCTCCCCAAATGAGCAGGCAAAGAAATGCATGCCCACTGATTTCCTGAAGTTGACTGATAGTGAGAAGATGGTGTGTCCCTGCAGGTTGCAAGTGGAATCTTCCATACTAGATTCCCAAACAAGCAGTCATTATGACACTTTTAGGCTTCCACTGTCTTACAGAACAACCCCCAAAACCATACTTTAGTAACATTTTATTGTGGTTCCTATTGGATATGGCGTGCCATTCTCCTTTCTACTATGTGGCTTGCGTGTTTTATTTGCAGAGATTGATTCATCCATACTTCTTTCCACTTGATTTCTACTTGTAAAGAATAGCCCCTGGAAACTCTGCTATATTGAAGTTAAAGAATCGTACAGGTGACATGGGTAGGATTGTGCATTTTGGATGGGGCAATGTGACATGCCCCCTGCATGGTGGCAGGCAAGTCATGATTGATTTAGCGCTTGCACTAGGTTCATGCTGAGGACCGGCCTACTGTACTGTGCTTAAGTCTTAGTAAAGCAACAACATAACTTCATCTAAATTAGCCATACTCTGGCATTTTAGTGCAAGCATACTTCAACTAATTGTTATTTTTGCACATTCTTGGTACTGCACTATTAATAATGGTACGGTAGATGTGGGCCATTTCACAACCCCTGGTCATGGCACTGAGCAGCAGAGGTACCTCTCCCCTGAGACATAAGGGTCTTATCCTAATTCTTCCGTCTTTTGTCCTGGCTTCATAGAACTCCTTTCATCACTGTGCTCCTTGACATGCCATGACATTCTTTCAAAATCATAGGGTGAAATGCAAACATTAAGTTTTTGCCCAGGGAGTTTAAAAATAGTTAATCCATTATCTGTACATTTTGGCTACTCCCACATGGCTGAAGTGGAATTGATATTTGAGGAAAAATTCTATAGCAACTACCACAGAGAACTAGTTATTGCAAGGGAACAAATGGCATGTAGTTGAACAATCCAAACGTCTTGCCCATAAATTCTTTTTTTGAAAGTTTTATTTATTTATACAAGAACTGGGTTACATGCCAGATGTGGGGGAGGGTGAGAGGATTCACCAGAGACAGAGCAGGGAACAGAACAGGAAAACTGACTGAAATACACTGTTGAGGGGAGCAGCAGGTGAGACAGGAGAGGTCTGTTGCAACATATGGGTATCTCCCTGACCAGCAGGGATAGAACCGGCACTGCAGAGGCTGCGGACAGCTTCACAGCGCTGAGCTCAACTGCCTGCGCCACTAGGGAGGCCCCATAAAATTCTTATGAAGCAAATAAATAGTAGACTCCCAGTCTTCCTTTCCCCTGTGTGAATCAGGAACCACATCTAATGACTTTACTCAACATTTGATTTTTTTTTTATTCTGGTCCTTTATTTTTTATATTATTTTTTTTTTATTTTATGTATTTTTTACATGGGTCTTCATTTTTGTACAATGTATGTTTCCTCATCTCGGTTATAGTCCCTGCGAAATTCCCACCACCAATTCACCCATGTACCATCACCGTAGTCCCTTGTGCTTTTCCCACCCCTGTTTTGATCCTACTCCCTTCTCCCTTCCTGTAGAATGTCTCTGGTTTATAGTTGTTTGTTGATTTTGACTTTCACTTTATTATAATTTCTTCCCTCCCCCACCCCTTATTTGGATCCTCTACATTTTTCCTATAAGTGAGACCATCCAGTATTTTTCTTTTTCTTTCTGGCTTATTTCACTGAGGATGATCCCTTCCAGCTCCATCCATGTTGCTGCAAATGGCATGAGTTTATCTTTTTTGATCGCTGAGTAATATTCCATTGTGTATATGTACCACATCTTCTTGATCCAGTCATCTATTTTGGGGCACTTAGGTTGTTTCCATAGCTTAGCTATTGTAAATAGTGCTGCAACAAACATAGGGTGCAGGAGCCCTTTTGAATTAATGTTTTGTGTCCTTTGGGTAGATACCTAAGAGTGGAATTGCTGGATCTTATGGAAGATTCGTTTTTAGCAGTTTGAGGAACCTCCACACAGATTTCCATAGTGGTTGGACCAGTGTACATTCTGACCAGATGCCAGTCCTTTAAATATGAGTTTGCTTTTATCCCAATGCATAATATCCCCACAAAAAGAGCATGGGAATTCATTGGTGATTCTGGTGATGAACTTAATTTATGTAGGAAAGGATCATTGTAGCATACTCTCATGTTCTTTCAGAATCTTAAAGAACTGCATATAGAGAACAATGATCTGGAGTACCTTCCTGCATCCTTGGGATCAATGCCCAACCTGACAATCCTTGATTGCCACCACAATTTGCTTAGGAAACTTCCAGATGCCATTTGTCATGCACAAGGTAAGGTGTCTTAGCACAGTAAGTCCATGCTTAGTACCATGGATAGGTTCTTAGAAATTACAACTTTAAGCTAAATAGTTTATAATGAAACCAATTTTATCATAGGCTAACAAGAGTTAAGTTCCTACAGCATGTCTCTGGTCAAAACTGAGTCTTCTAAATAAAGACTCATATTAAATAAAGACTTCTAATATTAAGTTATAACTTGTATTATTTGGTGTTCCAGACCACTTATTCTGGTCATGGGTGGCCAGAGCAGCTCAGGGCACAAGGAAGGGACCAACCCTAGACAAGATGCCCCTTTTCCCAGGGTGTGCTCACACCCACACTCACAGCACCCAGATTATGTAGACATGCTGAAGATCCAGTGTGTACATCTTGGAGCTGTGCGAAGAACCTGGAATACCCGGAGAAAAGCCTTGCAGGCATGGGAGAATGTGCAAATGCCACACAATGGCCCCAGAGGGGAATTGGGTGTTTTTTTTTTTCTTATCAATATTACAATGAAATGATGTTGAGGGAAATGACATTATTCAAGGACCTGTTGTAGATCTGTGGCCCTCGTAGAGTTTGAGACCAGTATTTCCTACCATGAAGGCTTTCCTGCTTTACTAAATACCAATCTCTGTATTTAGAGAGCTTACCATTACCCCATCACCTCTTTTAAGGGCTCACTAGTAATGTAGGGAAGACCATGTCCCTGATTAATAGAGCTAAGAATCTCACAAACTCAGTAAATCCGTATTGAGAATTGAAAAGAAAAGTGTAACTGTTAAGAAAATTAGCATTCATCCATATAGTCATTACACTACTGACAATGATTAACTGACTACCTGCTGTATGCTAGAGTTTGGAGTTAGGATTTCTTGTAGTAAATTTGTATTAGATCACTAAGTCACTAGAATAAAAGGAAAAGTATTACCCAGAGTAGTGAAATCAGCAAAGACGGGTGGTGGTGGTGGTGGGGGTTGGCTCTTGGATCTACAAGATTGACATTAAAAATCATATATCATATTTAAATACCCAAACATTTTTCACTAATCTAAACCCATTCTGTATTTCAATCCATCCATCCACTTAACAAGTTTTTGTTGAGCTCCTGCTGAGGCCAGAGTCCAGATAAAAATTATTTTTTTACCTTAGTGTGCTCAATCTTTGGGTTTATAGATATGTTTTTAAACTTTGACTATTCTTTTTTAATGAAAGAAGGATGAAGGAATATGAGTGAAAGCTGTTGCCTACCCACAAGACATTCAGTGATCGCAAGCAGTGGGTAGGTATGCAGTACTTAGTAGTTCTCCTGACCTTAGATTTCTATCCAATCCTTGGTCACTAGAGGAATGTAGCATTCTCAAAATATTTTTAGTATTTAAAGTTTTCCTGTCTCTGATACATATTTGCACTGGCTCCAGCAAGTCTGAATTTCTTTAAAGAAAATATGAAAAAGAGGGCTTGATTTGCTTCATTAATCTGATGTCTTTTGTGACATGGCACAGCAGGAAACAAATATTGCAAAGTGCGACTAAAAAATGAAAATGCATACATTGTGCAAAAATGAAAACATGATGTAAGAAATATATAAAATAAAATATAAAAAATGCATATTTTAATTTTGTTTGTTCTTACAGTAAATCCATATATTTTTAAAGATTTATTTATTTATGCATACAAGAGCTGGGGTACAGTCCAGAGATACCGAGGGGGTGAGAGGATTCACCAGAGACAGAGCGGGGAACAGAACAGGCAGACTGACTGAAATACACTGCTGAGAGGAGCAGTGGGAGAGACAGGAGAGGTCTGCTGCACCATGTGGGTTTCTCCCTGGCAGGCCGGGGATAGAACTCATGCTGCAGAGGCTGCGGATTGCTTCATAGTGCGGTGCTTAACCCCTTGTGCCACTAGGGAGGCCCTAAGTCCATATTTTTAAAAAATCATTTCAGCTTTGAAAGAATTACTTCTTGATGACAACAAGATCACCGATCTTCCAGAGAATTTGGATTCTCTAGTGAATCTGAAAGTTCTGACACTGATTGACAATCCCTTGGAAGAACCCCCAATAGAAGTGTGCAGCAAAGGCATCGAGGCCATATGGGCATATCTTAGGGAAAAAAGAGAGAAGAACAAGATGGCAACAAAGGTAAAAGTGACAAAAACTCTTGAGCACACATTCATAGTAGCTTTGGAGACACTTTGGTTAGTGTCAAACACATTGCAGATTACCCTGTGGGGCTGCCCCTTGCACACTTATACCTTGTTCTACTTGAAAGTAGGTTTTTACTTTTATGTCCCTGGGACTAAGCAAGAGATATTTGAATATCATCCTAGCATTTTTGTCATTTGTGTTCTTTATCTCTTTGTCAGGTAACAAGAAAACTGATGGGCAAAATCCCCCAAAACTTTAAATCCCCAAAGGATCTAAAGTTCTTGAACTATTCACTGGAGTGAAAAGTTTGTATAGTTGACCTTGGAACAACACAGGTTTGAACTGCAGGATTCTGCTTATACAAGGATTTTTCTTCTGTCCCCAAGTTCCACATTCAAGGATTCACCCAACCCAGCATGTGGGTTGAATCCTCAGATGTGAAACTGCAGAGACATGGATTTTCCATTGCTGGCGGTTGGTGCCCCTAAGCCTGGCTTTTTTCACTAGTCAATTGTATTAACAAAGTCATAAGATAAGGCTGAAGATTAAGAAATGAAAACATTTATGGATCAGAGTTCTGGAGACCAGAGTTCTGCTTTGCCACTGACTAGGATCAACAGGATAAAAGTTTTGTAATTCTCTTTGTCCACCAAGTCCAAGGTGATGTGAATATCCCAGACAGATAAGGATAACTAGTGTCCCTATTCCCACACCTACTACCCTTACAGTATATCTTCTACTCTACAGTCAGGCTAATGCTGATAAAACTTAACTGATATCTTGCCACTTCTCTGCTGAAATTGATGATTTTTTGTTGTACTGGAATAAGAGTCAGCCTTTGGGCTGCACTACTGTCTATCAATGGCCCTCAGCCACATCAGATTTAATAATATCCCTATTGTGATAAATATTATGTGATACTTCCTTTAATCTTTTGAAATGACATTTATAGATAATATAACTTACCAAAATCCATAATTTTAATAAATGAAAATAATGCCTGAGCTGCATCATAAAAGGGAAAAAAAGTAATTTATATTAAAATATCAGTATATATATATATATATATATATTCAGGAACAACTGCACTGGAAGAATGAAAATATAACTTTTTGGATAGTTTTTAAAAGCATTTTGAAAAACCATGTGCTCTCTTGCACATTTTTAAATTGATATTTTCAATTTTTTGCCACTAAGTTTAAATCATTGCAAAGAATTTGCTTCCTAAAAAATATTGCCATCTTGAAACAGAACTGTTAAATGTATCCTATGGAACCTAAATGCCTTTCTGACTTGATATAAATTAGTTAATATCAATTTAAAGAATACTTCAACAAACTTTTTTTTTAAAGATTTATTTATTATGCATACAAGAGCTGGGTGCAGGCTAGAGGTGCGGGGGTGGGTGAGAGGATTCACCAGAGACAGAGTGGGGAGCAGAACAGGCAGATGTACTGAAATACACTGCTGAGGGGAGCAGTGGGCGAGTCAGGAGAGGTCTGCTGCGCCATGTGAGTAGCTCCTTGGTTGGCTGGGGATCAAACTCGAGCTGCAGAGGCTGCAGACAGCTTCCCAAGCTGTGTCCCAACCCTTGCGCCACCAGGGAGACCCCAACAAACTTTTTTTTAACAGACAGAAATGTTATAGTTTTCTTTTCTTCTTGAACATGCATCTCCATTCCAATTCTTTTCTCTCAGAATTGATTTAATGTTGTTTATTCTGAATATATTATATATACTGTGTATGTGTATACATTAGCTACACATAATTTTCAAGTCATTTATAGGTCATCCTTTCATATATTTAGGCAACAAAAATATTTCCATAAATTAAAATTTAAAATTAAAGTATTTTTTGTCATTATAGGGTCTTAATGTTCTATATTAAATCATATTACAATTACCAGTTATATAAAGTTGACCAAAACAACATAAAATTTATTATAAAATTGATATCTAATTACTTAACATGCAGAATTTGGGGGAAATATATAACAAATGAGATATTTTTTTCATGTCATTTTTATATCCTTGCATAAATATGACTTATTGCTGGAACAAGACAGGGTTTAGCATCAGTTCTACTCCTATATTTCATTTTACAAATGAAGCACTGAGAAGCCTTGTTCATATAGTTAAGTTGACAAAAATCAAAATGGCTCCCCCCATATTTTGTTTTTGTTTTTTTAAGATTTATTTATTTATTTATGCATAGAAAAACTGGGGTGTAGGCCAGAGACGCAGGGTAGAGGGGTGAGAGGGAAGGGGTAAGAGGATTCACCAGAGAAAAAGCGTGGAGTAGAACAGGTGGATCTACTGAAATAACACTGCTGAGGGGAGCAGCAGGCAGGACTGGAGAGGTCTGCTGCACTATTCGTGGGTTGGGTTGGCTCCCTGGTGGGGCATCAAACTTTGCAAGTAGCAGTGATAGCACTGAGACTTAACCCCTAGGCTACCAGGGAGGTCCCCTGTGTATTTTGTATTTCATTTTAAATGGCAATGCCTCACATATCTCTGAATGTGTGAGATTTAATTGGAAATCATTTATCTTGCAAAAATATTGGTGACTTGATCCTTAGGGCTAACATTAATACTGTTACTTTGAACTACGCCCTCTCCCCCTTTTTCTTTTGGTGTCCCAGAGTTTACTTTTCTTTTTCTTTTTTTAATTTTTGAAACCAATAACCATTTTCTTAAATTTAGACCTTTAAATTTAGATTACAGACATAAATACAAATTACACTTCTCCCAGAGATTTTTAGAGTCTAGGGCAGCACACTCTTGTCTGATTCAGGGGGATGAGGGAGGTGAGTTCACATGCCAGTACATTTAACCCATATGGAAGTTGAAGCTTTGCCTTCAAACTATATAAGCCTGTACACCACTGGAAAGTCTTTCTGGACTAGGGTCTATGTCACATAACTGAAGATTGCTAATCCTTGAGACAGGAAACCCCTTAAATTTCCAAAATGCCTCTAGAGGGCAATTCTGATCCTCTGGAATCTCATCACCCTAACTGCGCTGTTGTTTTCACTCCCATCTCATCTTTCCCATTTTAGCATTTTCATCCGTAAATGGGATCCTTGGTGTTTTTCCAAACACCAAGCATGTCCCTACCTCAGTGTTAAGGCACTAACTCTTCTTTCTGCCCAGAGATGCTTCCCCCCAGATAGAGACAAAACTCTTACCTTCACTTAGTTCCATCTCCATTCAATTATCTTCTTTTCAGAAAGTCTACCCTTTATCCACCTTATTTAAAAGAGCACCCTCCACCCTACCTCACTGCTCATCTCATTCATTCATTCATTCAATACATTTATAGAACTTCTATCATGTGCCAGGCACTGTCATAGGCACTAGAAATGCATCAGGGAAAAAAACATAGAAATATTTCTGTTCTCGTATTGCTTAAAGTTTAGGGGGAGGGGACAAAAACATGACATATAAAACAAAAATTTTATACTGTTTTGGAAAGTGATAACTGATATTGGAAAATAGGTTCAAATAAGGAAGACTGAGGTTGCCAGAAGTGGGGTGTGTGTGTGTGTGTGTGCGTGTGTGTATTCTTGTGAGCGTGCACGCACGCATAGGGGAAGTTACTCCAAATTAAATGAGATGGTCAGGTCACACTTCACTGAAAAATGACTATTTTAATCAGTCCAAAATTCAGGCTACCATAACAACACACCATAGACTAAGCTACTTCAGCAATAGAAATTTCTTTTCACACAGTTCTGGAGTCTGGAAGTCTGAGATCAAGGAGTCAGCATGGGAGGTTGCTGGTGAGAGCTCTCTTCCTGGCTTGTAGATGGACACCTTTTTGCTGTGACCTTCCATGACAAAGAAACAGCAAACATCCCTTCCCCCTCTCCCCCCCAATTAACTCCCAAAGTCCCGTCTCCAAATGCCACACAGGATGTTAGGGCTTCAACATATGAATGCGGCAGAGGATGGCCATAGTTTATTCTATAGCAAAGACAGTTGAGCAAATACTTGAAGAAAGAAAGGGATGGATGAACCATCTGAATATTGGGGAGAGTGTTCCAGAGGAAGTATGACTGAGCCTTGAGGAGCCTGTGACTAACGTGGAGTGAGCAAGAGGGAGTGTAATTATGGGTCAGAGCGATAAGGTAAGAAAGGGAAGATCAGACAGGGCCTTGCAGACCATTGTAAGGACTTTGGCTTTTACTCTAAGAGAAACAGAGAGGGAGTCATTGGAAGGTTTGAATAGTCTATTAGAGGAGGGATGTTCCTATGATAGGAGGGAATAGAATCTCAAAGACAAAGGAAGCAGGCTATGGCTAAGAGCACAGATAGTTCAGTAAAAGAGAAGGAAGGCAGAGGGTGCTGCCTATTCTCCTAACTAGGTACTGTCATCTCTGTGACACTTGTCACCATCTGTCAAATTATACATGCATGTGCTTTTTGGCACTTCCCCTCAGTGGAAAGTGAATTCCACTCAGTACTCTGGTATCTAACTGCTGTTTCCCAAATGTCTTGAATAGTGCCTGGCACATAAAAGCACTAAATACTTTTTTTTTTTAATTTGCCTGGATGACTGGCCAAATGAGAAAGAGAGGAAATAAGGTTTGGATTTCCAATCCATAGCATTCTCCACATCTTTAAGACCACATGCCAGAAGAATGAAATAGAATCTTTCCGTCTATAGCTGATGCTGTTTTGGTTTCTCTTGCTTTCAGATTCAGGCATGGTGGCGTGGAATAATGGTACGGAAAGGGCTTGGACAATATGAAGAACTAAAATCACGAAAGAAAGGAAAGAATTCTCCAAAAGATAAGAAAGGAAAGAAGACTGGAAAAGCAGCACCTGTAAAGAAGAAAAAATAATATAGGTTAATGAACTGAGGTAATGAACTCTGATAGATTAAAAAGGCAAAATGTCTAGGAGTTAGATGTCTACTAAACTAAATTTATTCATAGAATTATGTGGAATTTGTAGAATTATGTTACATATAAAAATAAAGATTCTTTTACTGGAATATTTATGGATAAAATGATGTGTTGTCTGAGAATTGCTTGAAAATAATGTCAAGGAGAAGTATGGGAAAATGAAACAAGATTAGCCACAGATTGATAATTGTAGAAGCCCTGATAGGTTCATAAAAGTTGATACCATTTGGTCTACTTTTAAAATCTTTTCTTCTGAAATAATGATAGATTGACAGGAAATTCCAAAGAAATGTACAGGGATATCCATGCATCCTTCATCCTCTTTCAGTGTTGATATCTTACATAGCTATACAATAACAAAACCAGAAAATTGGTTGGTATGGTCCATGGAGCTTATTCAGATTTCAGCAGCTATACATTCATTTGTGTGTGTGTGTGTGTGTGTGTGTGTGTGGTGTTTCAGTGCAATTTTGTCAGATGTAGCTTTATGTAGGCACCATCATATTCAACACTTATAATTGTTTCATTACCACAAATCTTAGGCTATGACTTTTAGACATCCCTACTACCTAACCCTCTCCCAATGTCTTACTTGTTCTTGATCTCTACCATTTGTTATTTCAAGAATGATTCAAAATCACATAGAATGTAATCTTTTGGGATTGGCTTTTTTTATTCAGCCTAGTTCACTTGAAAATCATTCAAATGATTGTACGTAATCATATTTCAACAACAGAAAGCTATTGCTGAATACTATTGCATTGTGCCATAGTTTAACCATTTATACATTGGAGGATACTGTGTTATTTCCAGTTTGGGGCTATTAAAAACAAATGAACATTTGTTGATAGGGTTTTTGTATGAGCATAGATGTTCATGGAATTCATGGGGATACACAGACAAATGAATTATTCTATATTAACCAAAACATTCCCTTTTATACCGTTCAAAATTTCCTCACCTCAATGACTATTTCTTTTGAAGTAGTATTGATTCAAATTCTGCATATCTTTCAAAAAAAGATTGCATTATTAATTATTAGTGCAATAAGAAGAAAGCAAATCATAATTTGATTAGAGCATATCATAACAGAAATGTGTGAGGAGATACCTCTGCCATTCAATGAACTCCAGTCCCCAATAAAAGAAAACCAAAAAATTCAAAAATCACTTATAACACAATAAGTTTAACCAATGAATTAGTTTTTATGTTGTAAATTCCCTGCCAATGAAATGCCCAGAGGTAACATGTTTGTTTATTTTAACAAGAAGAGATTTTACTGTATTTTAACAAGATAGTGGGTTTAGAATTTTTGATAGTGGGTTTAGAATTTTTGACCACTTTGTACTAAACTTTATATGTCAGCTACTATTATTAGTTGTTTATTTCTGAAATAAAGGGCTCCAGAATATAAAATAATAAAACACTGAATAAACACTTTCTGAAAAAAAAGTGTGAGTGGACCACATTAAGATACATATAATAATGGTAAGAATAATAAAAAATTATGACACCATTAGTGCCTTTCACATTAGAATTTCTTTTTTTTTTTTAAGATTTATTTATGCGTACAAGAACTGGGGTACAGGCCAGAGGTGGAGGCGGGGAGTGAGAGGATTCAGCAGGGAACTGAACAGGCAGACTGACTAAAATACACTGCTGAGGGGAGCAGTGGGCGTGATAGGAGAGGTCTGCTGCGTTATGTGGATAGCTTTCTGGCCAGCCGGGGATCGAACTCATGCTGCAGAGGCTGTGGATAGCTTCACAGTGCTGTGCTTAACCCCTGTGCCACCAGGGAGGCCAGCATTAGAATTTCATACATAGACATATACCCATTGTTGTGCCAAGAAGGGCCCTGAGCCCTTCTATGATTGGAGCAGATAAAGGAGGAGTCCTGGAGCCCTTGGTGGCTTTTGCAGGCTTTTATTGAGCTTTTACATGTAGTGCAGCAACCAGGTACACAGCAGGAAGGGCCAGAAGGCTGCCAGGTCTCCAAGCCCCAGGCAAGTCTGGGCTCTCTGGCCTTCTCTCTCCTCTTCTTTCTCTCTCTTACCTCTGCTTCTCTTGATGAATATATCAATACCGCAGCCATGGCCCACAAGAGTAAACAACACAACTGAAAATAACAATGTAACAAAATGCAGGAGCCCCCATTAGGCATACAATCCTAATGGCAGAGGGCAGAAAAGCCTGAAAATCATTTACCCTACACCCACATATTTAGAACACATAGGAAATTTCCTATATTTAACATCTAAGAAAAGGAGCAGCAGGGATCTCCAGGGCAAGAAAAAGGAATGCATTACCAGAATCTAATCATTTGGGGCAGGCCTTCTATACAGTAAGTGAAAAAATTATATATCCAAAGCAAATGAAAATCCATCAAAAAATGTCATCCTTGTTTCATAAGATAGAGAATAAAAGACATGCTAGTATTTAACTATAAAGATACACAAATATTTACATGATTTTTGTAATAAATCCCATGAAACAGCCCAGAAGTTGATCCTCCTTTGATTGCCCTGACATTCATATAGGTTCTCTTCCTCCCTTAGAGAGGCTTTGTGGTTTACTAAGCCCTAGGACGTCTGCCTACTGAAACCCGCCATGGTCAAAGTGAATGCCTCTTTGGTGATTCAGTTCCTCCTGCTGTGACACTGGGAGAATCCATCTTCTCATTCCAATCTCAGTGATCTTGGGAAGTTTGGTCACAGCGCATAGCAAGTCTCTAAACCATCTTCCACAAGCCTGTAGAGCTGATGGTCGAAGACTAATATCCAGTTCCGTTAATTCTTTGAGGAGCCACACGCTTTGGCAGAACACAGCCCATCCTTTTTCACAGATGCTGTCGTTATAGCTCAGGTCCAACTTCTGCAGACTGGCCAGGTGACCTCGTTGTATTATTGATGCTGAAAAAGAAAAGTACACTAACTGCTAAAATACAATACTTTCTACCATGACTTTTTCCCACTTCCAGTAGCACTGTCTATCTAAGATTAGTAATGGAAAGATTTGTAATGAGTGCTGATTGATTATTAGCAGTTTTATTTAGGGTTCCTGAAGCTACTCTTTTAACACATTTTTGCTGTGTCTCCCATGTATAACTTGAAATAGATTCTTTTTCTAAATCCCAATCCAAAAAATTTCTTTCTGACAAGTTCCTTCTCTCTGCTCCATTAAGTTCCAGTTCTTCCTACAGACTTTCTCTAATTACATGTGAGGAGAGGGGGTTGGGTCAAAGATGGCATCAGAGGAGCCTCCCTTGGTGGCACAGTGGTTGAGCGCTGGGCTGCGAAGCTGCCCACAGCCTCTGCAGTGCTGGTTCGATCCCCGGCCATCGGTGAGTGTCCCACATGGCGCAACAGACCTCTCCTGCCGCCCGCTGCTCCCCTCAGCAATGTATTTCGTCAGTCTGCCTGTTCTGTTCCTGGCTCTAGCTTTGGTGAATTCTCTCACCCTCCTGCGCTTCTGACTGTACCCAGTGCTTGTATAAATAAATAAGTAAATCTTAAAAAAAAAAAAAAAAAAGATGGCATCAGAGGAGGTATGTTGCTTTACTTTACGGAAAATAGTCTGAAAGATAACCCATACTGGTCCTACACCCAGAGGACTATGTGATGGGGACAAAAGTGGAACAACTCTTGCACGTTGGAGACCAGACAGAACCACACCTGAAGGGACATTCAAGAACTTCATGCTTCATTAAGTAAGACACAGGTGGAGAGAAGGGCCAAGAGGTTTTGGTCTGGGCAGAAGGTCACCTTGCAAGCCATGGCTATGCTGCCTGGCCGGCGGGCCTGTAAACAGGAAAGTTCAGCGGTGTGGACACATACACTAATGACTGAAGGGAGTCATGTGTGGGGGATCTGGGATACTCCCAGTGGGCTGGGTGGCCAGTGAAAGAAGCAGTGCATCGGGCTGCATTCCCCCTCCCCATCCTCAGGACTGGTGCTGACCTTGTCGAGTTCACCAGAGAGTGCACAGACTACACAGACTCCAATATGGGATCTGGAACCCACAGAGGGGGGTATATTGGCAGTGACACAGGCATGAGCCATCCCCATTCCAAAGCTACTACCAGAATCTGGACCCCTCTTGTCCCTCCCCTACCCTGACTCCCTTAGGTGACTCAGCAGATACAAAATCAGGTCTCTAGATCTACAGATGAACAGAAAGAACAAACACCAAAATCATTTAAAACTGGGAAAAGCTAATGAATAAGGATATAGATAGAAGTAGAAAAGTAAAGACAAAATGGCAGCAACAAGTCCTCATATATCAATAATTACTCCAAATGTAAACAAACTGGATTCAACCAACAAAAGGCACAGGGTGACTGGCTGGATTAGAGAACAAATCCCAACTGCCTGCTGTCTCCAGGACACCCATCTGTGCTCCAAAGATAAACATTGGCTCCAAGTAAATGGTTAGAAAACAATCCTACAAGCAAATGCGACCCCCGCAAAAAAGGCAGGAACCACCACACCTATATCAGACAAAACAGACTCCCAACTTAAAAAAGGGAACAAGATTCCTGGGTGTTTCACTTTTATTTCTGAATAAACCGAATTCACCACGTGAAAAAAAAAAAAAAAGGAAGAAGAGATAGAAATATTCATTATATAATGATCAAGGGAATAACACCTAAGGAGGACACAATACTCACCTACATATCCCAAATGAAGGAATATAAAAATATATGGCAACTATTAACAAACCTCAAAAGAGTTATTGGCAGGCACATAGTAGTTGTATGGGGACTTCAACACCCCTGTCTCCTCAATGGACAAATCAACCAGACAAAATATCAAAAAGGAAACAATAGCTTTATTTTTTAAAAGATTTATTTATTTATGCATACAAGAGCTGGGGTACAGGCCAGAGGTGTGTGTGGGGGGGGGGCGTGAGAGGGTTCATCAGAGACAGAGTGGGGAACAGAACAGGCAGACGGGCCGAAGTACACTGCTGAGGGGAGCAACGGGCAAGTCAGGAGAGGTCTGCTGCACCATGTGTGTTGCTCCCTGGTCGGGGATCGAACTCATGCTGCAGAGGTTGTGGACGGCTTAATAGGTTGTGTCTT